TATGTATCTGAGAACTTTGCAACCTTTAAATATTTGACTTCATAACCTGCCGTTGAGGTAGGGAAAATGATCCTCATTTTACAGAGTCGGAAACTGAGGCACTGAGATTAAATATCTTGCCCCAGGTCACATGGGAAGCCTGTGGCATAGACAGTTTTTGATCCCAGAATTTGAGGATCCGAGTCCAGTGCATCAACCACAAGACCATTCCTTTGGCAGTCAGAGTGCCAAAATCTAATCAAAGACTGTTCTTACATGGTTTCCAGCCCAAGTTTGTAGGCTCAAGTGGTTTGGATAAACACTGGCAATTTTGGCTGCTTAACCTGAACTGACCCTCTAACTGTTCTGAGATTTTCCTGTCATAAATGAAAAATCTGAGCTCTCTAGCTGTGCCCTGTACCCAGGGATCTAATCCTCATACCCTCGCTAATCCTCCCTAAATGGAATAAATCATTTCCCCATTTTACAAAAATGTCAGTTTTTCCACAATTTTAAGAAACGCATGTGAAAACCATCTTTCCTAGTTTAACAGCAGCTATGTTAATACAAAGCATAAATAACTCAGAGAAGTAGGCCTGTTTGCCTCAAACTAGTTATCCCTCTTATAGTTTTATTCATAAAGTCTCTCCCGTTGTATTATCTTGTGAAGGCCACATTACCGTGAGTGTTAGAACAAGTGCTTAACTTTTAATGAGTAGTAGAGTTATGACCCAGTTCTGCTGAGGGTTTTCTGTAGGGGGCCGAGCACCTACAACTCTTATTGACTTCAGTAAAAAGTTGAAGGTACCTGGTGGCAGATCCTCAGCTGCAGGAAACCGTCATAGCTCCATTGATTTCAATGGAGCTTTTACAACTTACACCAGCTAAGGATACGCTTGCCAATTTTGGTTGGACATATTCCTGGAGGTTTCGTCACATGACCTAATCTTTAATTAATGATTAGCATTAATGGAAAGTTGGCAATCCTAGCTAAGAATCTACCTGCCAGTGCATTGGATGAGGCAATCAGTAGCACCCCTACACAATCAGGATCATTAGAGACCACAGAGGGGCTTCTGTATCATTTTATCATGCTATTTTGAAACTTATCTTCTTTACTTTACAAAAAGCGTAGCTAGGATATGGAGCCTGGTCTGAAGCCCATTGAAACCAGGACTTGTCACTGGACCTTTGGATCATGCCTTAATGAAGATGCAACAGCGAAGCGGCTCTTTTTGCAGATGGAGGGATAATTATATTAAGTTCCTTCATTGTGCTCTGCTTCATACACGACACACATTAATTCACAGTCCATATCAAGCCACACATAGACAATAAAATTTCAGAAACAAAATACACATGCAAGAAGCAGTGCAGGTATCTTTGGTGAATTAATGCAGAAAAAATGGGTTTTAAACATCAGTGAACAAACTGAAACAAATACTCCAGGTTCTCTAATTTTCTCAATAAACTCCATGGCTATCCTTTGCATTCATGGTGAAAGAATCATGCCCTGAACGGTTTTGCCAATTGTTTAATCTACTGTCTTTGTATTTATAGCTACTTTTGAGCTTGTATTCCTCTTATGTCACTCCCCCTATGCACAGAATTTGCAGTTTCCTCTGATAAATGGGCTTTTCTGACAAGAAAAGGGTGACACTCTAAGTTGTCAGATACTTTTAATTCCTGAGTATCATGCCGAATGTGACACTTGGAGGTTGTGATAATAATGTGTTATCTTAATTATGTGTGTTCTCATGATGCATGTTTTGTAACAGATATAGTATATAAAACTACAACAGTGCCTTTGAAATGAGATTCATTACTTAAGGGTTTTCTTCCTTCTTAAATAAACAAAGAGTAAACGAACAATTGCTGAGTCCAAGTTTGAATCCTAGCACTTCCTGTTAAGTCCAAAAAATAGTGCAAGGAACATGTTTGGTCTGCTCTTTCTAAGGCTTGATGATGTGATAGGAAGGATGTTGTGTGTAACATCAAAGAGTGATGTTGTTATACCTCCAACGCATGACTTCTGGAGGCCCATATCCAATAATGTACGCTCATTTTTCTCTTGAATATGGCAGGCTTTAATAGGATTGGATTCTTATCAGAAATGTTCCAACAATTTCCTTCATTGTGTTTCTGTGTGCCTTTTTTGACTAGCCAAATTCCTTTCACTTCTCAAAGTCCTGCTAAGTGACTCCCCACTGAGTTTAGTTAAGAACAGTGTTGAGCAAATTGCAAGCTGCCAAAACCAGCCATGAAACCACTGGTGATGAGCAAATGTTTCTGCTCTTTAAGCTCATGGTAAATGTTGCTTGCTTTTTCCTCCAGTCAGACACTGTTAAAGTGGGAAAACAAAAGGGTTTGTATGATGGACAGGCTCAAACCATATCCTGGATATGAACACCTCCAGACTTTGGAAAAGTACCACTATGGATCAGAACTTTGCATTTGGGGTCCATCTCTAGTTTGTATAGCAATGTATTGTTGAAAGCCACAAATAGAATTCTGGCCCAGAGATAAGCCATACAGTTTTGCTCCCTGAAGGTGGCTGCATTTCAGTGGTGGATGAAATGATCCCATAGTAGTTGTAAATGAATGTCTGGGGGCAGAATTTGGCCCAGGTGTATAATTCACAGTTACTTAATGTGATTTGGAGGCTTGTGAGAAATGTTATAGAATGTGAACCAATAAATATAACTGTGAACAGGTGATCCTTGCAATCAGAGGGCATAATACATTAAAGACAAGACATACTACATTATTGGATATTCATCTTGTCCATGTCCCCTGCTGCAGTGAACATATCAGGAGTAGTACCTGCTTTGGGGAAGAGTACTTGGCTGCTCTTCAGAAACAACTGTCTATCAAGAGTTATAACTGCATTAGTAGGTACAGACCGAGGGCTGCCTCAGAGCTTTGCTCTCATTAATAATGTGAAAGTGATTTTTTAAAATGTCAGTGCCAAAATAGGTTGTTGGGGGGGGGGGGGGATGTGGAGTGAGTAATTTTGTTGCAGTAGTGAATATGAGCTATGTTAGTTATTTACTCATTTTTCTTGGGAGGGGAAAGTGTGTTTAATGGTTGGAGCAGCTGACTGGACCTCTACCTGGCTCTGCCACTGATTTCCTATGTGACCTTGGGCAAGTTATTTCATCTCTTTGTACCTCATCTGTGAAAAGGGCATATATATGCCCCAGTTACAGGGATGCTTAATAATCCTAAAGCTCTTTGAGAGCCCTGGATGAAGGGCAAAATATCTCATTTTAAATTTCAGAAAAGTTTGATGACAAGTGTTTTTCAAAATACTGAACAAATAGAAGAGAAGAAATAAATTGTATTAAATTGTAATAAATACTGTAGCTAATTGAGACAATGTGCAGGAAAGTGATTCTAATGTGTTGTATATTGCTGCATATTCTTTCAGATTTGAATGAAATAAGATTTTTTTCTTTTGCAATATTTTAAGTTCTTGATATACCCCCAGCACATTACCTGCCATAACAAGATTGAGAAACACGCTGTCCTGGAGATTATCTTGAGTGCACCAAGAACAGCTTGAATCACTGTTAAACTGGATCAGCAAATCTCTAGTTACTGTATATTCATCTAAAGCATAAATCCCTCTTTAACCTACTTCCAGGTAACCAAAACTAGTAACTTGGTCACGTCCCTAGCTACTATGGGCAACATGCATTTCCCCCCCCACACACACACTTTTTATAAAAAGTCCCGGGAATCAGAGGGAAAAACACTATATTGCCCGTATTTTTCATTTTAAAATTCATTAAATATTTTTGGTCATTTTTCCTAATAGTCCCCCTTTATTTAAATTTCTCCTACTGTCTACAAATTGAGCTATGCACTGATACGAATCCTGGAAGTTTCTGTCATCATTTCCCTCCATAGGTGGATCCCCCTCCATTAGTTGCCCTCACTAGCACCAGACATGTGACTCTCCTTCTGGCTGGGAAGAGATGGATGTTCCTCCTGCTGGAGTCTATTATAGCCTTCCTTTATGCCAGCCAGGAGGCTTGCTAGAAGCTTTGAAGGACCCATGCCATTCTGATCATCTTCTGGCTTAGGAAAGTTGGATGTTCCTCCCTCCGGGAACCTGTCAGTGCCTCATCTTCTGTCATCCAGAAGGTTCACTAGAAAGCGGTGATAGCGTTCCTGTCGGGAAGTGAGGGATCTGAGGTTGGGTCTCCATCTTGAACTCTGTATATGGGAGCATATTACACTCCCATAGACTCTGTACTCTGAGAACACTGGGAGTTTATAACAATAACTTGTGAACTAGAGTTTTGATCCTAATTCTTCATTCTCCGTTTAGACAAGTCACCTTGTATTTCAATCTCTTCCCTGCCGAACTCCTAATTAAAGGTTGTGTGATTGCTGTTCCTTGTATCTCAGTGGCCACAAATTCTTCATATATCGATAAAGATGGCCATTTGAATTTAATCAGACAGCAAAGATGGATGTCTCACACAGATTGTGGGTGCAATCCTGGTCCCACTGAAGTAATTGGGTGCCAGGATTTCACTTCTTATTTAAACCACAATGAGTCTGAACATGTTTTACAAACATGGGTCTCATGCATTAATGTGGACATAAGGCGGAACTGAAAAAAATCTATAAAAAAAAAATGACAAACCTGACCCCCTTTGTAACTGCAATTATGACTTGATTGGAACAAACTAGATAGACTACACAAGCAGCTCTTGCCAATCATATTAATTCAGATCAAAAATAAAAATGTAGAGGGGATAAATCCATTTTCAAAAAATGTAGGTTTGGGAGGAGTTCCACACCAAACTGAAACCCGAAGAGAGAGAGACAATTTTTGCTGGAAATCTAGGAAAGCTTTGTATAAATGATGTATTGCCCACTAATATTAGACTCATCAGATCTGTATATTTTTAGCATTGTCAGGCACTGGTTTCTGGAGATTATAATCCATTATGTTGGCCCTTTTTTAATTTGGCTTTGATGGTGAATGTATTCCTTATAAAAACTAGGTTAGAACTATGCATGCTGCTGGAACATGAAGCCATCTTTGAAACAGAGACTAACCACGATTCTCTTTCCTGCTGTCCTTTTCTCCTCTACCAGAAGGTAATCACTTTTCTTTATTTTTCCCTTTTGTTAATTGATGCATATTTGATATGTCCAGGGATTGTACTAGGAATGAAAATAGTTATTAATATGTTGTTAAATAAGTAGTAAAATTATAAACTAAATAAAAGGGCAGCCCATAAACAGCCAGATAAAACTGAAATAAGTTACAGGCGCTCCTGGAGCAGCCCAGACTCTGGGAGGCACGCAGGAGTGGAAGCCAGGAATTTTTGTATTTTAATCCTGGTTCTGACACAGTCTTTAAATCAGCTACTCCAATCCTCTCTCTGTTTCCTGTCTGTAAAATGGGGCAGGTAATATTTAGCTTTGTGAGTGTAATCACCTTTGCAAATTATGAGGTTTAATTAATGTTGGTAATGCATAACGAAGGTGCAAAGAACTATAGAATAGCTAAGTACTATTAATTTATCAAAACGAAGAAAGGATTTAAAAATCCTAAACATGAGATTGGTAAAAATAAATTAGGATGCAGATGAAAATCCATCATATGGTTTAGAGTCAAATTAGAAAGGTTTGGAAGGAGAAATAGAATCTTGCCTATTGCAGATAACGGTGGAGAAGTTGCCTGATCCACCACAGATGACCACGCTGCTGAATCGCTACAGTACAGATCCTCAGTATCAGCAACTCTTCATCAATCTGGTAAGAGTGAAGCCAACTCTAAAAACAAACATTTCCTCCATGAACAATGTATTTGTTATATTTTCTCATTTGTTTATGATGGCTGTGTCAGCCACACTGACTTACATAAACACTGCCAATCCTGGGACGTTACACTCTCAACAAAAGTAGCCGAGTACAAAGAGCATTCCAAAGTTTTAATTCATATTGTATAAACGTAACAGATGTTGATAAAACGAGCCAACAAGAAAATACAACAAAGGAGACCATTTCAAGGGGGCTTTTGATTAAAATACATTCCAGATTGACCAAAAGATACAACGTTAATGGAATAGATCATTTAACTGTCATCATTTGGCTCCTTTAGCATTATAAAGCAAACATAAAGCATTTCCATGTTTATTTCCTAAATACTGCACCAGAATACTGGGCCCAAGCACATTATAGTTTTTGGTGCACTGTACAAGGATTAAGAAAAATAAATAAATAATTAAACATAGCCAGTCTTTGCCTCAATGAGTTCACAATGCACAGAGTAGGCACAGATAAAATGTGGCACATGGGGAAATTCAGAGTTGGGACTGACTTAGAGGGTTTTTATTTAAAAAAAAATATTTTGAGCTCTGCTCGAGTTCATTGTAGTGATCCTAATGAACACAGGAATTGCCATACTGGGTCAGACCCAAGGTCCATCGAGGCTGGTATTCTGTCTCTGACATTGGCTAGAAACAGGTGCTTCAGAGGAAAGTGTAAGCACCTTGCTTCCCTTCTGGGATAATCTGCCTCCTACATGGATCTCATCCTGATCTGTAATAGTTAGAGATGGGTTTAAACCCTGAGGCATGAGGTTTAATATCCCTTCTAAATTTTTATTATTTCTGATAACTCTGGATAGTCTTGGTGTCCATATACATGTCTCATCTCTTTTTGATTCTTGACCTCAATGACTTCCTGCGACAATGAGTTTCACAGTTTAATCACACATTGGGTGCGAACATATTTCCTTTTATTGGTTTTGAATTTCCTTTCTTTCAGTTTCATTAAATGTTCACTTGTTCTTGTATTATACTATAGGATTGGGAGAACACAAGTTCCTGATCTACCTTCTTGATACCAGTATCTTATGCTGTCCTCTCTTTTTCTCCTTTCCAAAGTAAACATGCGACCTTAACAGCCCCTCAGTGCCAACTGGCAAAGGGTTCACTGTCATGTAACAGCTACTCTTAACAGGCTTGACAAACTCACTATGCCTAACACATTGCTGACATAGTATTTACCTATAAAGAGTGTCTTGTAAGGTATCAGATGAAAACTGGTAACATAAGGGTCATTAATATCATTGTGAAACATGTATGTTAATACTATATGAAGAATTATGGATACTCACTGATATTATGCTTTAAAGTTGGTAACCAAACAAAAGGAGAAACAGGTTTTCTCCCAGACGGGAGGGAAGGTAGTTATCTCCCTGTTTCTAATGTAAATTGAGCATTGTGGAGCCAAATATAATGGGAACTACCTTTGCATGGAAGTCAACAGGAAAAGCCAGGTTGACAGGGGTGTGTGAACTCAGCTTGGGAAGACACTGGAATCTGAACCCCAGCGGTTCATCCTGTCTCTGGGAATAAACTCCCTATGAACCTTGGGAAATATAAGGAGAAGCAAAAGAACATTCTGTTATCTATTTACTGAGGAGACCCCTGGTAAGGAGTAGGGAAAATCATGAAAATCTGGATCCGGATTTGACTGAAAATCAGGTAACTCTACTGAAAAACTCAGAGGGTAAGAAAACGGCTTTAGCCAAAGGATTGTAGCTTGCTAAAGTTATGTTTAGTCTCTTAGAAATGTGTTATACTTCTGTTTCATTTGTAACCAATTCTGTTTCCATTATCCTTGCTTTGTATCACTTAAGTCTCTGTCTTTGTTAATAAACTTCTGGGTTTTATGAGTAGATCTCTGTGCTATAATATTAAGCAAAATGTGAATTAGTTGAATCAAACAAGCTGGTGTGCACACTCTCTTTGGAGATAGTGAACTTTTTTAGGAAGTTCTGTGTCCTGTGTTATGCAGGTCAGACTAGATGATCACAATGGTCTCTTCTGGCCTTAGAATCTATGAAGTTGGTAATTTTTGTGAGTGTCCAGTGACGGGGGCTGGGTACTCCAGGCGAATGATCTTCCAGGGGCTTGGGACCTGCATGTATTACCTGCAAAGCAAAGTAAGGGCCATCAGAGTCCTGAGAAATTTGTCTGGGATAGTTAGCAGACTGGGCTAACAGGGAGTTTAGAACCAGCAAATATCTCTTACTGAGGTAGACGCATGGTAACCTACAATTTTGGGCGTCCTGAGAAAGTGTCACAAAACAATCTGTCTTTTTAATCTCATTTCATTTGTGAGTTTCCCCAGGCCTTTGATCATTCTCACTGCTCTTCTTTGACCGCCCCCACCCCTTTAGTTCTGCAGTATTCTTTTTTGAGGTGGGGTGACCAGCATTGCACACAGTATTCCAGATGAGGCCATACTACTGATATATATATAAAATTATTATAATATTCTTTGTATTATACCATGTCCCATTCCTTATGTATCCCAACATTTTGTTAGCTTTATTTTTTTTTTAACCACAGCTACACATTAAGCAGAGGTCTTCATTGAGCTGTCTACAGGGAAGACCAGGTCCCTTTTTTGAGTTGATACAGTTAACTTACAACCTGTAATGCATATGTATAATGTATAGGGCTGTCAAGCGATTAAAATATTAATTGCGTGATTAAAAAAAATTAATCTCGATTAATCACACTGTTAAACAATAATTGAATACCATTTATTTAAATATTTTTGGATGTTTTCTACATTTCAAGTATATTGATTTCAATTACAACACAGAATACAAAGTGTATAGTGCTCATTTTATATTTATTTTTATTACAAATATTTGCACTGTAAAAAACAAAAGAAATAGTATATTTCAATTCACCTAATACAAGTAGTGTAGTACAATCTCTTTATCATGTAAGTTGAACTTACAAATGTAGAATTATGTAAAAAAACCTGCATTAAATAATAAAACAATGTTAAACTGTAGCACCTCCAAATCCACTCAGTCCTACTTCAGTCAATCGCTCAGACAAACAAATTTGGTTACAATTTGCAGGAGATGCCGCTGCCCGCTTCTTGTTTACAATGTCACCTGAAAGTGAGAACAGGCGTTTGCACGGCACTGTTGTAGCTGGCATCGCAAGATATTTACGTGCCAAATGCACTAAAGATTCATATGTCCCTTCATGCTTCACCCACCATTCCAGAGGACACGCGTCCATGCTGATGATGGGTTCTGCTTGATAATGATCCAAAGCAGAGCAGACTGATGCATGTTCATTTTCATCATCTAAGTCAGATGCCACCAGCAGAAGGTTGATTTTCTTTTTTGGTGGTTCGGGTTTTGTAGTTTCTGCATCAGAGTGTTGCTCTTTTAAGACTTCTGAAAGCATGCTCCACACCTTGTTCCTCTCAGATTTTGGATGGCACTTCAAATTCTTAAACCTTGGGTTGAGTGCTGTAGCTATTTTTAGAAATCTCACATTAGTATCTTCTTTGCGTTTTTGTCAAATCTTCAGTGAAAGTGTTCTTAAAATGAACAACATATGTTGGGTCATCGTCCAAGATTGCTATAACATGAAATATATGGCAGAAAGTGGGTAAAACCAAACAGGAGACGTACAATTCTCTCCCAAGGAGTTCAGTCACAAATTGAATAAACGCATTATTTTTTCAATGAGCATCATCAGCATGGAAGCATGTCCTTTGGAATGGTGGCTGAAGCATGAAGGGGCATATGAATGTTTAGCATATGTGGCATGTAAATACCCTGCAACACCGGCTACAAAAGTTCCATGTGAACGCCTGTTCTCACTTTCTGGTGACATTGTAAATAAGAAACAGGCAGCAGTATCTCTGGTAAACGTAAACAAACTTGTTTGTCTTCGCAGAACAAGAAGTAGGACTGTAGCATCTCAACAGTGTCCTTATGTTCCTTAATTGCTCTCTTCATCCACTGGTGATCCAGTGAAGTCACTAATTCTTTTGTGAGCTTTCTACTTCTGAAACATTTTAAAGAATTTCATATTTGTTTTTACACATTTAGTTATCTGCTCCTCAAAATAGTAGAGAAATGTGAAGGTAAAAGTAGTTGCTCATTTTCTTCATTGTGGATTCATTAATTAGAAATTCCCCACAACTGATTAAACTGGCTGTTATCAAAGATATATGTCCAAGATTTTGCTTGGGATTTTTGACGATACTGATTTTAATTTCCTGCAGCCTCTGGGTTTTCCCTGCTAGTCTCCCAAACAATATTGGCCCTATTTAGTTTGTGAGATTTGACTAGATTACACCTTGAGAGGTGATATGACTGCAGACCAGACCAAAGAATACTAAGGAGTATATTATTATTCAACCTTTATTTTTACTTGAATTGAACCTATATTCTATATTTTTACTTGAAAAAATGTTTTCAAAATTTCCTTTTTTTTAAATTCCAAAACAATAAAAAGGTTGAAACTGAAACAAAATGTTGTTGTTGAAATTAACATTGTTTGACATGACACAATTTTTTTCAGCCTTTCAAAATTCCCAACAAACCACAAAGTGCATTATTCACCGAGCTTTAATCTTAACTACTAACCAACTCTTGCTGATTTCCCTATGAGGTCAATCAGTGAGGTGTGTCTGCATTTTTTATGTCACACCTTGTCTGTTTCACACTGTTTTAGTCAGTTTTGCACCAAGAAATGTCAAAAGTTTGACAATGGGAAGCAAGGAAATCTGTTTCATAATAGCAGAAAAAGAAACTCTGGCAAATAGCCACAATAGCAGGTCAGGGCTAATGGGAGAAAAATGCCTATAGAAAGAGCTTGAGAACGTATTTGTAGTGTTTCCTTTTGGGCCTTTTGGGTGAAATACATCCTTAACTTACACATAAGCCAAAGCATGGCGTCTCTGGTGGTGGAAAGTCTACTATGGAGGAGTTTGTGGAGGACAAAGTGGCTGTAACCTCATTTTGCCAGGTGGCCTAGAGGCCAGACATGGCTGGGGTGAGGGTATGGGCAGGGCAGTTGAGAGATGCACTGATTCAGTGCAGCAACCTCTTGATGGCCTTAGCTGATAGGCTCCTAAAGAGCTCCTGGTCAGAATTCAAGCTGACCTATGGGGATGAATCCTGCTGAGGGCCTCCCGATTGCAGTGAGGTTCAATTTGTACTTCCGAGTACTTTCTGGGTGGATCTTGCCCTTCATTAGTCCTTTTTAAAAAAAAAAAAATTTGTAAAAGACATCTGAATGCTCTCTTTCCTCTGGTTCCAATCTACCCACTATCCAAAAATATTCCTGGAGAGACTACAAGACACACCATCCTCAGGTGGGTGTGGGGAGCTTCCACTGATTTCCCAGTGCACCCATATGCACTTGAGGATAAAAGTTATGAGTAGGATGCTGTATGGATAGGTAAGATATAGAAACTTGGTGAACACCTACTTAAAATACCAATATTTACCTTGGAAACCTACGAAATTAGCTTTAGCTAAATCTAGAAACATTTATGTCTAAGGTGGGATTCAATGATCAGCATTCAGCACCCAGCAGACCTCACAGTATATATTTTTTCTTTGTTCTCTCTCATGCAGTATATATTTCTGATTTTTACTAACATTAACTAAAAAATATTACAGGATGTCACAAATGGGGTTGTATAATGAGAGAGCAGTTATTAAACATCTCTTTGACTTAATAAATACTTGATCATTTACTATTTCCAAACAGGAATTCAGACCATGTCAATGGAGCTCAGCTTAGCTGTTCCAGCCTGAGATATTTGGGTATATTCCAGTCATAACAGCTTAATGTGAACTTGATCTTTTAGTAGAAAAGAAAGGGCTCATTACTGTGTACTTTATACTGATTTGGGTACAGCTGAAATAAAAGAAAGTGTAGTAATCTCACCCCCCACCACTCAGGAAGCCTGCTGTAACAGGAATGGCTACACACTTATTTTCTCCAACCCCCACCTTCTCTCTCTTTGTCTTGCAGGAGCCGTACATAAACAAATCAGCGGTGTCGGTTCAGGCTCATTTCTCTCTGCAACGCACATATATCATCTTTCGGACCTTGGGGCTTCGCCACCTGACAGTTGTTGACCTACAGAACCGAGTTGTTGGGATAATAACCAGGAAAGATCTGATGTCTTTCCAGCTGGAGGAGAGGCTGGCGCGTCAACTGGCATCGCAGAAACATGACTCAGATGAGCAGCCCTTAGATTAGGAAAAGAGAACAGAACTGTGAATGTTTCATTTCTTAAGCTTTGTCACTTTAATTTTTTCTGCATTTTTCTTAGGTAAAGGAAAAAATGGATATAACTGTGCTGTTAGATTCCTTTAGGGCAGGGAAGTTCAAAAGGCATCCTACCTGGGCCCTTAAATGTATCCTACCACTAGCTCCCTTGAACCATAGGATGATGGCAAAGTTCATTGACTGCAGATTTGACAGGGCACTGGGTGAGATGGACCATTGGTCTGACCCAGTATGGCTGTTCTTATGTATGTTCTTATATTTTTAAGGCTTGTGAACTAAATCAGGAATTTTCTACTCATCTACCATGGAAGGCAGAAGTACAAGCAGATATGAAGGTTGAGGTTAAAATGTCCAAAAGCATCTATTTTCAAACGTGACATAGTCATTTAGCAGCCTAAGTCCTGCTGATTTTCATTGAGACTTATTTCAGAGTAGCAG